GGCATGACAGTCACTACTTGCCAAGGCATACATTATTTTTCTAAGGCATTCTGAAGGGAACATATTGACATCAAAGGCCATTTCTTTATTCCTGCTCTTCCAGAGGCAAAGCTAAGAGGGCATGAGTGAAGATACCTTCCTCCACACCCACACAGGCCACCTTTCAGAGGCCTTAAGAGGGAAGCCTGGCTCTAGGACATCTCTGGAAGAATATGTCATATGTTCCCTAAAGTACCTTTGGAGTTATGTCAGGAGTTACAGATCAGACTGTGGCAGCAGGCTTTCTCTACACCAGGCTTCTGCCTCAGAGATGACCATTGAAAAACTCAACCCAGGTGAGTTCTGAACATTCTAGCACACAGAGATCCCTGCACCAGTCCTATCCAGATGGGTAAAGCATAGCCTAGAATTGCAGTCCAGACCTAGAGGAGGACATGCAAGTCAAATGCCTAATGACAAGCATGTTTTTTTCTTTGTTTGTTCATTTTTGGGGTTTTTTTTTTTTTTTTTGGAGACATAGTTTCACTCTTGTTGCCCAGGATGGAGTCTCAGCTCATTGCAACCTCCGCCTCCTGGGTTCAAGCAATTCTTCTGCCTCAACCTCCTGAGCAGCTGGGACTACAGGCACCCATCACCACGCCCAGTTAATTTTTGTATTTTTAGTAGAGACAGGGTTTCACCACGTTGGGCAGGATGGTCTCAAACTCCTGACCTCAGGTGATCCGCTCACCTTGGCCTCCCAAAATGGTGGGATTACAAGTGTAAGCCATCGCGCCTGGCAACAAGCATGTTTTGAATGAACAAAACTGTACAAGACCCATAACTGTCTTAAGACCTTCACATTCTTAAAACATTCTTTCACATCATTTGAAACATATTAAAAAGTATATACATTTCACACTTAATAATTTTTCTATAAAAGGACTTTTCAAATTTTCCTTGTGAAATTATTTGCCTAAAAGTTAAAATATAATTTCTCTACACTCATCACATATACTCAGGAACTCTCACTTGGTGAGAGCATCTCATCTAAAAACTGTTTTCCAATATAACGAAGTTATTATGAATGCTAAATCCAACCATTAATGAAGCTGACACAGTGTTCGATTTTGTGATCATTTAATAAATGCTTATTAATTTTGCTATGACTGCCTTTTTTTTTTTTTTTTGGTTTTGCAGACAATCATTTTTCCTGGCCAGACTCCAGATATTTTCCCAAGCAGAGCTCCTTTCCCCAGCACTGTAGGCCCTGGATCTAGAGGCTAAACTGGTCCTCTGAGCTCATGGCAGTCAGCCAGGCACTCCCAAAGAGGGTATCAACCATAGTGAGTTCTCAGGGATTCCCAGACATTCCACAGGACTCCCTCTAACCAAAACAATAATGGGGAGGCTCTGGGTCTTGTGCTATCACTTACAGACCCAAGAAATTCTTACTGATGAAACTCAAATTCTGAAAATTTGTGAACTTTTGGCTCCTTAGAGAAATTTACTCACAACCAGTGCTAAAAGCCTTCATTGTTGGCCTTGGTGAATCCATTCTTTTCCTTCAGTGGGTGAAATCAGGTTTCATAAGTCCAAGTGATTTTATAAACCTTTGTCTTCCAACAATAAACGAGATTTGGAAGCTGATCTGGAGTTACATGTCTAGTAAGCTTTTCTGTCACTCCACAATATCTAAGATACTCATGCTCCACCAAGGTGTTTATAACTGGACCCCAGATCCCTTCTTTAAAGACATCCTATCAGCAACTGTTAGGTGGAGTGTGCTTTACCACTTGACTTCTTTTTTTCCAGAAAAACTAAGTCTTATCAGAATGCATTAATTCAAAAATAATCATAGGTAGTCTGTTGACAGTCACAAAATTCCCTCCTTAGCCTATCAGAAAATGCTGAAGTGACAAAGAACTTGTAAATTCTACTATCTTAATGTGGCTTCCAGCAACATCACATAATCAGTGTGGTTTAAGGAATTCATTCCTGACCTTGCTTTGCTTTGTATCTTTTTTAAAATCACTGAGTACACATTGAATTTATAGTGGGAAGCTTAAGACATCAGACAGAATGAGATGGAATTCCAAATCTACCATTTTGTAGCTGTGAGAACTCCAGCAAGTTATTAAACCTCCATTTCTTCATCTGTAAAATGGTACTAATACTTAATTGCATTGTTCTCAGGATTAAACAGACTAATGAGTATAAAGCTTTTTGTGAGCAATCAATAAATGTTAGCTTTGAGTATTACTATAATTATTATCCATCATTTTCTCATTATTTACTATACCACCATTCAAGCCACCATACCTACAATCTGGACTGCTCAGTAGCTTCCTCACCTCCCTGCTTGTTCTACTCTTGCCTATCCTCAACCCTTCTCATCTGCTTCCCAAAGCTGAGGCATCCTTTCAGAATGGAAAAGCAATCAATTCACCCCCTTCCCACATAAAACAGAAATGCCCCCAGCTACCTTTAGCACAAACCTGAAAGGCCCTGCATGGCCAGACTCTTGCTTACCCTCTCTGGCCTGTTGCCACCTCTCTCCCCCATTCCCTCTAAGCCTCAGTCATACTCATCAGTCTTCTGCATACAACCCATACTGCACACCCTCCAGCAGACCCTTCCCACAGCCTGCAGCTCTGTCCCCAACCGACGCTCTTCAAATCCCAGCCCCAAAGCTACCTCTTCAACGAGATCCCACTCAGATCTTTTCTCATATTCCTTCCCTGCAAAGCACTTAGCTGAATAAACGCATTACCTATTTAATCAGGGATGATTTCCTAATGTCTGCTTTCCCACACGATTTTCAGTTTGCGGGAGGGTACGGCTGCCAGTTTTGCTCATCGCATTCCCCATAACCTAGTTCAGCCAAGACCTAGTGGGGGAGGAGAGTAAATATTAAATTAACGAGAGAATGCATGCATGCAGAGGGGTTAAAATGGCTCGGACTTCGCAGCCTCCAAGAGTTGGCTCCCGCACCTGAGGCTCGTTATTAAATGGTTCCTAAACATGCGGGGTCACTTTTCCGTGTTTTGTTTTTTAGTTTGGCCTTGGTTTGTGTGTTACTCTTCATGAGTAAAGGTTCAGGCGCCGCCATCCTTGAGAGCGTAGGCGGGACCCCATCTGAGATAAAGAGAGCCCAGCCGGCAGTGCTGCAGGCGTGGGGCGGAAGTGCGGGGAGCGGGGCCGGCGCCTGGCGGGTGAGGGCGGAAGTGCCCGGCGCAGGGCGGAAGCAGAGACGTTGGCGGCGTGAGGCTCAGGTGGGTGCCTTTAGCCCCACGCCGAAGGTGGGCGTTCGCAGGTCTCGGGCTCTGAGCCTACGCGCAGGCTGGCGGGGGTTCGCTGTGCCGCATGCTGCCAATTTAGATTGTCGTTAGAGGGAATTTAATTAAACCGGGAGCCATAAATCCATGAACCACCCGAGGGGAGATTATAAACGCGTGTGCATGTGTCTGTGATGGCGCTCTGGGAAGTAAAGAAATGACGGGCGGGAAAAGGAAGCTTTTTTTTTTTTAAGAGAAAGCCGAAAACATCTCAACTTCATACTCTTCCGGTGATTCACAGATGCGCCGTCCTGGGTTTAATTGAATTCTATGAAGTGGTAGTGTAATCACACTTGGGAGTCCGCTGAGCAGACTGCCTTTTTAAATAAATATTTTTGAGCAGCCATGTTGACCTTTAATTGGGGTGAAAAGGTTGAAAGGTGCAGCAGGGAACATTGTGAGTGCCGGGGCTCTCTGGATCAGCTGTCTGGATCTCCTCTCAGCCTTATTGGGCAAAAGCAACCCTCTGGGTATTGAACAGTGAGAGAATAAATCAGAGACTGTACATTCTCAACAAATATTCACTTCTGACAAATAGCAGCTCATACAGTTTCTTAATAAGTCCAAGGGTAGAAAAGTCCCCACTAAAATGTCATTGTAAGTTAGACTTGTGACTGTTTCTAACGCTGTCTTTAACAAGGAGTGTTTTGCTTGGGTGATCTTTATTCTTGTTTATTAATAAATAGTGTGTATGTGGTACTTTACATTTTAGTGCCCTTAAAAAAAAATCCATAGTATGGCCTTAGCTTGACCCCAAGATTCTCAGTTCCTCAAGGACAGGGATGGTGTCTAAGATCTGTAATATCCCAATACTTTCTAGCGCATTTCCCAGCATTAGTATACATTGCCTTGTTTAAGCAGCCACTAGAGCTGTGCCTTGGTGCACAACGCTGAACAAGCTGAGGTGCCTATTAGAGGCCACAGTCTTCTCATGTGGTCATATTCTGAGGACTAGCTTATAAAAATGCATGTGAAGCTGTCTACCAATATTTGGAGCTGTATACGTTGAGGTACGTTATAGGTAAATAGCAGAAAGATTTAAAACACTGGGAAAAAAGATACACCCTGGAAATACTGGATAATTATGATAATACTGGGGCAAAGCAGAACTAATCATGGTTCTATGTGAAATATTGTAGCCCAAAAACCTGGGTCCTGCTCTGCTGAGGAATTGCCTGAAACCAGAAAGGCCCTGTTGTGAAAATTAAGATTGGTGGGGCTGGTGCTTTAAACAGGCAGGATCCTCAGATTGTCTTTCTTCCCTGCTGCTGTGGCAGCAATAACCACATGCCAAGGAAGGATCAATATTTTTTTGTCTCCTTCATCAGAGGAATATGTGACTGTGTGGTTTTATTTAGATGGACTGTTGGCAGGTAAGTAATAGAAACGAGGATTTTTCCAACTTGGAAATTGATTGGACTGTGTTTCTATTTTGTTCCAGATGCCTGACTCTAAAGTACCCAGAGGCACTGTGAGAAATCCCTTTAAAATAGGTTATTTTTTATTATTAAAGTTTTTTATTTCATAACTTGTATATGCTCTAGCTGGCTGATGTGTTCAGTTACTCTAATGCTAGGGTTTCGGGTTTCCCACATAGCAGGACCTTGAGGTGATCTGGTACAAGTAGTGAGGTGTTTTTATGTTCCTTATTTAAATCTAATTTTTGCTACTGCTTTATTCAAGGAGTATGCATCAGAGGAAGCCAAAAGCCAGCTGGAATAGTTCCTGAATACAGTTTTAATCTTGTTTGCAATTATTTCAAAGGGGAGAAATCATCTGGATCAGGTATGTGTAACTACACAGCCGGGATTAGGTGAGCTTCCTCTATCCTTCCCCTAGTATTGCATAACAAATTCTAGGGACAAAATCATTTGGGGAAGAAAATTCAAATGAAAAGTTTTGGCTAAGTTTGGCATAGATAGGATTCCACATCCCTAACTTCCCATCCCAGTACAGCCACGGAGAACAGGAAACATGAAAATGTTACTCTCTTTTTATTCCAATCCTTACCAAAGTTAAAGTTTCTAGAGATGGAGGCAAACTGAAAGTACCTACCTACTATTTTTAGAAAGTATCCATCTCCAAGGATATCAGACCATTTCACCAGTAATATCTAGTAACAGCCTTTTTACTGTTATAGCCTTCATCACTGTGGTATTGTGTTATTTGTTTGTGAGTCTTTCTCCTGCTCAAAGTGTGAGTTCCTTAAGGGCAGGGACAATATCTTAATCACTTTTATATTTCTAATACATGGCACAGCACCTGGCACATTGCAAATGCTCAGTACAAGCTGTAGAAATGAAAATATAGTGTCCCTGAAGGGAGGTTGGATCTATAAAAAGTATAAAACACTGGGAATGTAACAAGATAGAGAAAAGAATATAAAGCAGTAACCTCCTTTCAGATTGTTACTAGAGACAGAAGTAATGCTTTAATAAACAGCTTGGAGCAGGGAAGAGTGTATTTGGGAATCCATTAGATGCTCCTCAAACTGCCTTCCAAGGAGATCTGACCTGGTCAGTTGTGGGTCCTTTGTTGTTTAGAATATGCAAGCTGAAAGCTTCCGCCAATCCTGTCTCCACACTCTCTCCAGGTCTGCCATGCAATGCCTCACCCAAACACCTGTTTGGCAAATATTTGAAGGGTATCTGCTTGAAAGTGTGCCAAATTATTAGCTTACGTAGGACACCAGTATCTTGGTTTGGTGTTGCCTTAAGCATAGAGGACCTCTGTAGAGTCACTATCTTAAGTCTGATCACTATTTTAAGTCTAGGTTGCCCAAATAATATTGAAGGAAATCCACGCTTGTCTTGTCTACTTTACTAACAACATTTCAGAGCGGTTCAAAGTTGACAGCTTTTTGTGTTGTAATAGGACAGTGGTGGTATATGCCGATGCCTTCTGTTGCCAATGGGATTGCAGCAGAAATCACATTGTTAAAACTGGAAACAAATGAATTTACTCTCATAGTTCCAGTGCTTTTTCATGTTAATCATGAAATAATGGGGAAATGATTTTTAGTCAGGAGGGAATGACATGACGTTGAATTATTTGATTTTTTTTAAACTCTTTGTTTCTTGAAACACATAGTCCTTCCATCCAGTGAAGAAAAATGATACTATTATTTAATAGAAAACTCAGTAAATTCAGCCATTTTTCCAGGTTCAAAAATGAAATGAATGTGAATCTTTTTCGATTTAGAGAACAGAGCCTAATTCTTATGGTAAAAGAATTCTGTCTGAAACTGAGACTTTCCTTATTCTCTCCATCCTTAAATTAAGCCTTATACAAAATGAAGTATCTGTTAATTGGTATACCCTGAGGATTATTATGAAAAGTGTTTTGAGATTTTTTTGGAAGAAAGAGGGTTGAACTTGGAGATCCCTTCTAGTTCTGAAATTCTGTGTTGATCTCATTATATATAAAAATATGCCATTGTTCCAGGAGAAAATATAGAGAAATGAACTAAAAAATGTAGTATTTTTAAAGCATTAGTTTGCTTATACATAAAGCAAGAGGAATCTCCAAAGTCACTTCCAGTTCCAAAACATTAAAAAATTTTATCAATGATAGCTATTAAAAAACAGAATAGACTCAAAAGATTGTAGAATCCCACATAACTGAGGGATGCCACAGCCTAACATCAAGCAAGAGTGGATGGCTCCCAACATTCAGATTGAACACTGTATTTCTACAGGCCTGGGTCTTAACTGTTATCACAAGTCCAGGGAAATGCTGGATTTAGCGATTCAATGTCCAAAGTCACTTGCTACAAAGTGGCTAGCAATGAATGAAATGTCTTTTAGGTTTTGTGGGGGCACAAAGATAACTTCATCTGTTTGACAAGGTAAATTGAAAGTGGTTGGAATTTTAGGGACAAAGAGAAGACATTGCCTGGGTGGATGGTTTTTGAATTGCAAACAGTTGTTTTTGGAAATGGGATTATGTGCTTTTTAAATAGCAGGGAAACTTGCATTACTAGCTGGGTACAATAAGACTAAGATGTTTAATGGAATTGCCTTCTTTCTAGGTCAGTACTAAGTATAAGAGATATCTTCAAAGGGAATGGGTCATGTTGGTTAAGAAGGATAATGTGGAAAGGAGTCTGCATAATTCCTTATATACTTTGTTCCCATCCCTTGAACTAGAATGATTTTGCCCTCATCTTAATGCTATCTTTATGGAATGAAGGAATTTTCAAATTGGTTTTTAAACTCTATTAAGTCCTCATGTATGATATAACCCAACCACATTATTCAGGTTTCCTTGGCTTTCAGGAACAGCTTTGCAGCCATTATGTCATAATTGAACCGAACGTTGTTGCACATTCTGAATTTGGAATATGCTGCTCTGGCTCCAGGCCAGTTGCTGAGTCAGTATCTTTGGAGTTGAGGATGGAGGGGAGGGGTGTAGTGTGTACAAACCCATTGTGTTAACAGGAATTAGTCCAGAAATCTCTTTGGACTCTTGGGAACTAGAGGGGGTATATGGTGAGTGTACATTACTGTTCTTGATTAGCATCATTCTTTTATTTTCTTAGCTGAGTGTTTGGAAACTCTTCCCTGACATTGTCATGTGCACCAACCCCATTACTGAGTAGACTCCTCTGAAACAATGATCTGGAAAGTGTGACTGCTAAGATCTAAAGATTCTAAAACAAAATCTTGCTTATACTGAAGACTCCTCTCCCCTTCCACTTTACATTTGTCAGCTTGCCACCGCTGAGGCAAAGATAGCAGTGCTTCTGGATGGGAAAGAGAATGCCAAGATGAAGAGGATCTTTCATTTAAAATCATCTTTAAAATATGTTTAATAGAAAGAGAAATTCATTATTTTCTCTTTGTAGGGGGAGTTCCATCTTGGATACTTAGACAGTTGCAAGATGAGTGCCCTAGTGTCACCTTCCCCATTTTCCAACTTGGTTCCTTCTGACACCAGCACTTACCAGTTATGATTGAGGAGTGAGAAAAGAGAGTCTGCAATGAACAAGTATCTTTAAACTTCTGCCTGGACCTTTAAGTGAATTTGAGTCCTCTTTAAGGGTCTATTTTAGGCTCTTATAGGTAAAAACTACTTTGGATTTTTTATTCCAGGCCTTACTTAGTCATAGCCTATTCCCATGGCATTTGTTTAGCATGGGATTTCCCCTTCTCTGATCAGGAGAATGCTTGAGGCCCAAAGCCCCAGGCACAGTTCCTTTGGGTTTCTAAAATGAGAAAATGGGACAAGTGGTAGCATTTCCATTTAATTGTGGATGAAACTGAGGCTTTAGGAGATAAGGATTTACCTCTCCCTTTGGGGTTTATGTTTATGAAATCCTCACCTAAAAATGAACACAGGGAATTCAAACATGCTGAATTTCAACAGAATCTCTATATGAAGAATAACTTAAAAGCTCAAAATGAAGAATGATACCATTTATGCTTAATTCCCCTAACTGATTAGTCAGTAGGAGCTGTGTTGGTTTAAATTTATTTTGACCTCTCTAGATAATTTACTCAGAACCACTTGGAACAAGTTTTGTCTTTAAAGATTGTGAATAAAATCCACCTTTACAATTACCTAGGCGGCTTCTTTTTTGATGTACATGAATTGAGGATATCCTTGGTAAAATAATAATAGTACTGAATTTTTCCCTGTTTGAGAAATAAAAACAAATATTGGGGAAAAGCAACTGGAAGGGAACTGGCCTTTGCTTAAAACCCATCAAGGGGAAACCTTGATTTCTCAAAATCTAAATTTCAGTACCTTCATAATTTTGTGAAGGCTGAGTAAGTTTAAGCCAATACCTGGTGCCAAAGTATTTGCTAGTCAGTCTTACCTAGACTTAGTGACATCCTTAGGTGCAGATAAATATGTTGAATCTTTAAACAAACAGTCTTATCTTAGAAATTCCTGTTTAAATAATATTTGTGAGAAAACTTTCAGTTATTTCTATTTGAAATTTTTTTCAGTTTTGCAATTCCCTATTTCTGAGACTGCTGTTAATAGAGATTTAAATCTTCCATTTGAGGCCAGTAAAAGCACATTTCAGTCAATAGAATCATTATTATTAATAGTGATCTCTTAGTATTATTTAGTAATCAGTACTTAAGCTTTACTTTTCTATTCTGCTTTATAACTTACACGGAGATTTTTACCTTGATCATCTCTTTTTAAGATACCCAGTCAACATTTGCCTTCACTCTTCCCACCCTCCCCACTCCATCCTCTCCAGAAAGATCTCCTTTTAGTTAAGATGTTAAATTGGGTAAGAACCACTTAAGGTATTCATTTTACGGGTAGCATTGGTTGAAAGATTTCATTCCTTTGAAGCAATCATTAGATGCATCTCTTCTGATTTGTGGTAGATTGTTTCACTGTCCCTGTTCTAGTCAAGCCCTCATCAGTCTCCTTGACAATGGACAATTCTTTCATTCTGTAAACGCTTTCTCATTGACTTCTGTAATGACACACTTTTCAGGTTTTCCTCCTACCTCACCAGCTGTTCTGTCTGCCTCCTTTGCTGGTTCCTCTCGATCCAACCTCTAAATGTTGAATTGCTTCAGAGATCTATCCTCGGCCCTCTTTTTTTTTCTGTACAATTTTAGATGATTTCACCTAGTTTCGTAGCTGTAAATATAATCCTTAAACTGATGGAGACTCAAGTCTTTATCTTTAGACCTGGACTTTTTTTTCCTGAGTATCAAACCTGTGTATGTCATTGTCTATGTGAGTTCTAACATGTCCCTAACCAAGCTCTTGGTCTGACATATTCTTCAATCTGTTCTTGCCTCCATTTTTCT